TCGGGCGAGTCCGGCTGAACAGCGGCGGGCGCCAGAGTCGGACCACCCAGACGGCGGGCCCCATCGTTGACGTCGGGGTGCAGGCGAGCCCAGCGACGGCCGAGCGGGCCGTGCAGACGGACGCGCCAGAGGAGGAGGCGCGTCCGGTCCGGGGCGCCGAACGGGCCGTACAGACCGACGCGCCGGAGGAGGAGGCACGTCCGGTCCAGGGCGCCGAGCGAGCGGTGCCGACGGACGCGCCGGAAGAGGAGGCACGTCCGGTCCCGGGCCCCAGGCGGGCCGCATCGCCCGACCCGCCGAGAGCCAGCTGGAGCAGCGCCATGGCGAGGGCACACAGCCCTCACTGGGTCCACCGCCCCTACCCGGGCTGTTGGAACTGCGAGGCGCGCGGGCACTACTATAGCGAGTGCCTGCGCCCCCGCAACACGAGGCGGTTTTGCTTCCGCTGCGGACGCCGGGATACGACGTTAAAAGACTGTCCGGACTGCGGGGAAGCCTGGAGGGCCGAGGGCCCGTGCGTCGAGGGTCGCGGCCGCGGAAGATCCACCCCGTCCCAGCGAGGGGGCCAACTCCCGTCCATGCGGAGGAACGCCGCGGGATCACCGCCGTAGACGAGGAGGAAAGCCGAGCGACCTGGGGCGTGAAGCCACCGAGGAGCCGCGTCCTGCATAATTGTCTTTTCCTTTTTTTTCGTTTTGCGCTCCTTTTTTTTCTTTCAGTTTTCCCGCGCGTCTTGCTGTGACCACGATCATTTTTTCGTTTTCGCTCGATCAAGATTTTCTTTTTGCGTCCCCGTTTTGATAGAAGTCTTTAGTTTCGTTCTCGCGTCAATCATGATCTTGTTTACGTTCTTGTTTAGATTCGGACTTCTTTTTGGTTCGCGTTCAATCGCGATTTTATGTTCTCGTTGGGATTAGTACCTTTTTTTTTGTTCACGTGCCATCGCGATTTTATGTTTTTGTACGGATACCGATTCCGTGTGGGCTGTGATATTCCGGGGGTTGCCGCGGGGCGGGAATCAGACGGGGGAACGAGAGGTGTTGTAAGTTCGCCCCAGCGCGCCTTCTACCGAGAGAGTTTGTTAAATAAACGGCGCCGTCCGAGAAGCTGCGAAATATTTATTCTACGACCCTCTCCCCCACGCCCGGCGCCTGCGAGCGCCCCGGGCCGTTACTTCGGCGTTGTCCTTGGGAGCCGCTGTACCCACGGTACTGCGAGATAGCGATGATTGCAACCGTCGCGGTTGCTCGAGTGTGTGTGTTCGTCCATTGTGAGTGGGCCTGAGCTCTGGAGGCTGCGATCGCTCTCCGACGCCCGAACCGAGACTCGGGAGTCGGGCGGGGGGCTGATGGGGGTGATCGTCGCCGGCACGGTTTCTCTTGGGGGTGAGGGGTGTGACGTTGCCGTCCCGCGAGCGCGTCCACCGGGTTCCTCCCTCAAGGCAACGGGCCGAGATTAGGGAAAACCGTGCCGCAGTCTCCAGAGAGGCGACCGTTATTCGGAAATTTCGACGTATTGCTGATTATTTTGTTTTTTTTTGTTCCTATGAATGCGAGCGTGTGAGTGCGGATGGACGAGGGGGCGGAGGAAAGACGAGAGGCCCGGCTAACGGACAAATTCCGCGGCGAGCACGGTGGAGAGGCGTGCGGAGCGGGAACAGAGCGCGCGGAGCAGCGAGCCGGGAGGAAGGAGCCCAGGGCCCGTGGCACGATACCTGAGGGGCGTCAGCGGGGGAGCCGCTGCGACAGCCCTATCGAGGGAACGCGAGAAAATTTTGGCGATACCGCGGGCACCTGCGCCCGGTCTAGACAATATCGCTGCCGGCGTTGTCGCGTGCCGTCGCGCGATTGGCCGCGGGGCACGCGTCTCGCGCGAGCAGCCGCGGGGGGGGGGGGCCCGAACTATCGATCCGCGATCGCGGAAAATTCGGAGTTAGCCGGTTGCCGGAGCTGTAAGAGAGAGGACCCCGGTCTGCCGCTACCGTCGCTTTCCCGCCGCTTTACGAGTGCCCCGAAAGTCAGGACGAGCCGTTGCCGCCTGCCGATCCCGAGGGAGCCGAGGGTGCCGGTGAGATTGTCCTCCGTCCGTTTCGCCCCGTGCGATTGCGTCCGGGCCCGGGTTGTTCTGTCGCCGCCGGGAAAATTTCGCGCTTGGTGTCGCCCGGGCTACGGCCCGTCGGCTTTAGAGTTTCTTTGGTGTCCCAGTCGCGGCGACAAGCAACCGCGGTTACCCCGGAGCCTGCAGGGCACAGGCCTCGCG